TGGAAATATTCCGTATTTTGGAAATATTCCTTGAGACGGGAGTCGAAAATAGGATTCTAGGTCACCACAGAACTGTATCATGTTCGTGGGGGTGGAGGGGCAGAAGGAGAGGCCCCGAGATAGAACAGCTGCTTCTGCTGGGCTGAGAGTATAGTTGGATAGGTTAACAATATTGCTAGGTGGGGTGAGGGAACCATTGCTGTGGCCCTTGTAGCATGTAGTAGTTTAGAAAGTTTAGTGTCTTTTTTCTTTTGTAGAGAAGCAAAGTGTGGTTGTAAATGGCTTGTCTAGTTTTAGTAAAATCCAGCCACGAGGAAGTTTGTGTGGAAGGTTGGTTCTTTATGAGAGTATCCATTTTTGAGAGCTCATTCTTAATCTTTTTTTATGGCTGATTTAGAACAACGCTTCTCAGCTCTCGTCCCCTAAAGCCCCTACTCTACTTGCGCTATATTGATGACATCTTCATCATCTGGACCCATGGAAAAGAAGCCCTTGAGGAATTCCACCACGATTTCAACAATTTCCATCCCACCACCAACCTCAGCCTGGTCCAGTCCACACAAGAGATCCACTTCCTGGACACTACAGTGCTAATAAACAATGGCCACATAAACACCACCCTATACCGGAAACCTACTGACCCTATTCCTACCTGCATGCCTCCAGCTTTCACCCTACCACACCACACGATCCATCGTCTACACCACTCTGCGATACAACCCATTTGCTCCAACCCTCAGACAGAGACAAACACCTACAAGATCTCTGTCGCTTTCTTACAACTACAATACCCACCTGCAGAAGTAAAGAAACAGATTGATAGAGCCAGAAGAGTCCCAGAAGTTACCTACTACAGGACAGGCCTAACAAAGAAAATAACAGAACGCCACTAGCGGTCACCTTCAGCCCCCAACTAAAACCCCTCCAACGCATTATTAAGGACTACAACCTATCCTAAAGGAGACCCAACACTCTCACAAGTCTTGGGAGACAGGCCAGTCCTTGCCTACGACAGCCCCGCAACCTGAAGCAAATACTCACCAACAACCACATACCACACAACAGAACCACTAACCCAGGAACTTATCCTTGCAACAAAGCCCGTTGCCAATTGTGCCCACATATCTATTCAGGGGACACCATCACAGGGCCTAATAACATCAGCCACACTATCAGAGGCTCGTTTACCTCACATCCACCAATGTGATATATGCCATCATGTGCCGCAGCCCCTCTGCCTGTACATTGGTCAAACTGGACGCTCTACGTAAAGAATAAATGGACACAAATCAGATGTCAAGAATCATAACATTCATAAACCAGTCGGAGAACACTTCAATCTCTCGGTCACGCAATCACAGACATGAAGGTCGTATCTTAAAACAAAAACTTCAAACCAGACTCCAGCGAGAAACGCTGAATTGGAATTCATTTGCGATTGGATACTATTAATTTAGGCTTAAATAGAGACTGGGAGGGCTAAGCATTATGCAGGTAGCCGTTTCTTCTGTTTTTTCCTACCCCCACCCCCCCCCGAGTTCTGGTTTAACTTGGTTTAAACTTGGAGAGGGTCGTTTAGATGGCTATTACCAGCGGGGGGTTTGTGTGTGATGGGGGTGGGGGGTGTGAGAAAACCTTGATCTATGCAGGAAATAGCCGACTTGATTATGTAAAGAGTTGTCACTTTGGATGGGTAGCACCAGCGGAGAGTGAATTTGTGTGGGGGTGGAGGGTGAGAAAACTGGATTTGTGCTGGAAATGGCCCACCTGTTGATCACTTTAGATAAGCTATACCAGCAGGACAGTGGGGTGGGAGGGATTGTTTCTATTCTCTGTGTGTATATAAAGCTGCGCGTTTCCACGGAAACTCTGATGAAGTGAGCTGTAGCTCACGAAGCTCATGCTCAAATAAATTGGTTGCTTAAGGTGCCACAAGACTCTTTTTTTGCGAAACAGATAACACGGTGTTCCTCTGAAATGCATTGTAAGGAGAGTGATCACTTTAGATAAGCTATTACCAGCAGGACAGTGGGGTGGGAGGAGGTATTGTTTCATGGTCTCTGTGTATATAATGTCTTCTGCAGTTTCCCCAGTATGCATCCGATGAAGTGAGCTGTAGCTCACGAAAGCTTATGCTCAAATAAATTGGTTCGTCTCTAAGGTGCCACAAGTCCTCCTTTTCTTTTTGCGATTACAGACTAACACGGCTGCTACTCTGAAATCTGTAAAGAATGCTAGGCCAACTGGATTAGGTCCTTTGTAGCTTTAAGTGACCAGGATGTAACCCCCCTCTTCCTGTCTGCTATGGGTCCAGCCTTTCATTTCCGGAAGAATCGCACATGCTTTTCCACAAATCCTGGGCCCAGTGCTCAGTGCTGCACTGTGCAATCATGGGATTAGATTTGCAGTGTGCCATGGGGTCCATTTGCAAGGCCCACTAAGTCAGCCTCCTTTCATAATTCAAGCTCCAGAGGTTCTGAGATGGATAGGCTGCTGTCAGGAGGCTTAAATTGAATGGCTCTGGTCATGATTTCCAGTTAGCAATGGTTGGCTGTTTGTTTCCAGAGCCATAGATGGGCTACTGGCTGTCTAGGCATGGGAACCCTCATACTTCAGCTATGCAATGCTATGTGTTGTGTAAGATTGAGAGAGAAATATATTTAGTGAGGCACAGTGTGTGCTCTGTCTTCAAATAAATAATAGTAAATAATTCAAATAAATAATTGTTCAGTGTGTTGCCTCGTGCCTTGTTTAGTACACACTATTCACACCCTCCTCTGAAGACAGAACATGAATTTTCTCATGGGCTTTTTTGTAGTACTCTGATACCTGAGTGCTTCACAAACATGAATTAATTTAACTTCACAACTCCACATTTTGCAGGTGGGGAGCTGAGGGCACAGACAGATTAAGGTCAGAAGTTTTCACTAATTCTGAGTGCCTACACTGAGATGCCTAGGACACAATTTTACGGCGTGTTTAGGCATCTGTAGCCCTATGTGTGTTCAAAGTCCAGCTCCCATTGAGTTCAGTTATAAGCTGTGGGTGCTCAGGACTTCTGCAACGCAGACCCTAGGGTCTCAAGTCAGGCACCTAGAAAATGAGGAACACATAGTTAGTGACCACCTTTGAAGAGCTTGGTATGTAGCCAGATATATAGGGTCAACTTATTTGTCCCTCCATATTTTATTTTTCTTTATGGCATGAGAGAAGTGAGAACCTTACTTAGGTCAAGTCTGTATCTGCACTGACTTTCCAACCAGTGGTGGAGTGAGGATAAATTTGCAGCAGCAGCTGTGGTCTGTTCTGGCCATTGGCTACGCTGGCTGAAATCAGTGGTCGCTCAGCATTTCCATGAGTGCAAGCGAGTCTTGAATCTGGTTCGAAGTCCTTGTCCCAAGGAGTTTACCATTTCACTAAAAAGGCCACTGGAGTTTCTGAGCAGAAACAAGCTTCTGAAAAATACTAAACTGGTGAAAGATACATTTTATTTCTATTAGTACAAAGAAACAGAAGCTGCATTATTTTTCCCATTAAACTTTCCAACATGTCAGGCATGGGCTGAAATGGAACATAGAAATTTCAGACCCAAAGGTAATTTTCCCCCAGAAAGGCTATAAATGACTGACGATAGGAATTTTGGGCCAAATTCTGCTATGTTATATACATTAAGTCTGGAGTAATGCAGGTGACTTTGGTGGATTTATCTGGTGTAACTGAGTTGAATTTGGCCCAGAATCTCTAGATGCAGAATAAAAATATCCATCATGTATCTTACAAACTGTTAGAAGGATCCGTTTATGTATTAAGATATTGTTGTTATGTCTTGCATCGTTTTCCCAACAGCAGCATGTTCTGAGTAGTGACTTAATTATTCTGTGCTGTGAGCTGATTTCACTTGTCCCTAGAAACAACTGTAGAAACTGGGTTAGTCTTCCGTGTGTGATTGTGCAATAGTGAGACCAATATAAAGGTGCATTGGGGTAAGCAGAGAAGTTGGATCTGTTGTTTTTTTTTTTTTTTAAAGTAAAACAACTTTTGTTTTCTTCTACTGGAAGAACACATTGTCAATATTTAGTGAAAACGGAACAACCAACCCCCTCAGCAGTTGTCCCCTCAGACTCAGTTTATATTTCTGGAATGGTTTCAGTTTTGGTGGGAATTGCTGAACACCTCTGGCAGCTTGGAGAGGATTCAGTGTAGTCTTAAATCAAGTGATTTACTGTTATTAACGACGCAGCCTAAAATCGTTGTAACCAACACCAGCGCGGGGCATGACTGTGAGGCGCTTCTGGAGTGAACCACTTTAGTGCCCCTTGCTGGCTACCTGTGCTATGTTCTGTGCAGGGGAAGGAACAGATTCCCATGGGCTGCTAATTCCTTTCCCGCACAAGTGGGTGGCGAGTGGTCTGCTTCGCGTGGGAGTGGATGGAGCCTTCGTTCCATCCCCCTCTCGTGTATGTAATTGTGCTGCACCGTCAGTTTATATCTTGCCCTAGAGCCGGGGGAAGCAGGGATTGTGAACCTTGGAGCTGAAATCAGATGATTCCTGTCCTGCTTCTGGGGCAGCACAGCTACACGCGGTTAAGCATCATTATAAGGTTACAGTCTGGCCTAAATGTTTTGGAAAAAACGGATACATCATCTTAAAGACTCACTCGTAGGCAGTAAGGGGATTTCAAAGTCAAATTAACACCAATCACCAATGTTTTGATGTCAACTGCAGCAGTGCTCATAGTCTCATCCGGGGGGGGGAGGGCGCGCGGGGCGGTGAGGGGGAAACGTATTGGAAAAACGATGCCACTTGGAATAATCTATTGTACTTTGTTAGGATAAGTGCGGACTTATTTTTTAATTTATATAAGCGATGACTGTTCTTTGAATTTGCTGTTTTTAAAATAGGCACGATGTTCTATTGTATATTTAATGTACAGCTTTGAGAACCTTCATATAGTATCTTTGTTTCTGAAAAAGCATCTCTTTTGTTTTTTGGTTTTTAGGGGAAAGCAGCAATTTCTCTACCATGGAAACCTCTACAAAGTGATCGTTGGTTTACAAAGGTAGATTTCTTTTCCTTTTTTCTTCTTTTTAGCATTTTTTTTATACTGTGTGTGTAGACGACTCCCGTTCAAAATATAGCTTAAAACTGCTATGCCGTGTGGTTAATGTTCGTAGAATATAGAACTTATTCCAGAGTAAAGAATGGCAGTTTGGAAACGAGAACGATAAGGGTCAATGAGCATGGACACAGCATTTGCTTTTTTGGCCAAGTGGCTGCAAATTTCCTGAGCCTTAAAATATCTCCTAAAAGCAACGGGCCTGACAGGGGTGAATGGGGGCGGAGGCTAGTGCCACAGGTGCCCCCTCCACTTTTTTGATGCTCAAATCCATAGCATCCTAATATTTCCTGGGCGTACTAGGCCCATCTTATTCCCAGACCTGAGCAAGCCATGTCATGAAGCAACCACCAGGCTTCATTCAAGTGTCAGATTTACAGGAAAGGGGCATTAACCCTCTCCGTGGGCTTTTGAGCACCTGCCACTCCTGCCAGTTAATTTTATCTCCACGTAGGGAAAAAATCTCGCCTGGTGCTGCTAACCTGGAATATCCTTGGTGTGCCCCACCAGCAGCCAGGATCTCACCATATTTGCTCCCAGCATCCGAGAGGTATATGCCACCTGGGCACAACGGTCAGAGGCAGTTCCGAGCAACACTCAAACCACCACCACCAGTCAGTCAGGTGTCGCCCAACCGCGTGTAACAGTAGGTCACGTGATACCAGCGCACGTGGGGGAATTGCCTCCTCCGCATAAGCCGATCCGTTTGGCTGAAGTGGGCCCCTTTGATGCCTGTCCATGATCGTATCAGTGTGCATAAGCAGCGGGATGATGGTCCACATACAAGTTGAATGTAGAACTTATTTCCGTGCCAAGCAAGGTGAGATATTTGGGATTGAGTGTGAAATAGATCTATTTTATTTTTGATGTTTCTGCAGTAAGTAAATGTGTAACAGGACCACCCCGTGAGGCTCTTCTGGCATGTGATGGATACTGAGGTGGTTCCTTAGACTATAAAGGCATTTAAAGCTTCTGATTGGAGGGGGGAAGTCTGCAGTAGTGGAATCATTTGGAGAGGTGGGCCTGGGAAAATATTAGAGGAGAAAGTCAGGGCTGTAATACTTTGGGGCTAATTCTGGTTTTGGGGTTCATTGTGCGGGTGGCTGGGTGGTATTTAGTAACCTGTGACATACAGGAGGTCTGCCTAGATGATCTGGTGGTTCCTCCTGGCCTTAAACTCTGACTTTGTGAACATCTAGAACGATGGGACCTTGCTTGCACCCTTATGGTTGAAGAGGCTCCTTGCGAAAAGTAGAATTAAAAAATAGTAAATTAACAGGTGACAGCAGTGGTGTAGCTGGAGCTAGTGTGTTACCTGTAACTTGTGGTCATCGGGGTTAGTCACTGGAAAAGTGATGTGACTTGTTGAGCACAGTGTCAAATACTGATCTTCAGTAAATAGGCATAGCTACCTAACAGCCTGTAGTGTCATAGCTGTGCATGTCTGTCTAGAAGCATCATGGTTCTAGAACCGTCAAATTAAAATGCCTTCACTGTCTAGGGTGATCTGCCTCCTGGCTTCTGCTCCTTTTGGTGTCCGGTGTACCACTAAACTGTGCCAATGTGATTTCGGGGACGGTTGCACTCTGACCCAATGCTCTCTCGTTGTTGCTTTGTTTGTCTTTAAATTATTAAAATGCTCCCACTGTGATTCTCCTCTGGGCACATGTCCTCTTTGCTAAAACAATTAAAAACAAAAATATTAACTTACGTCAACCAAAAATAGACTCTTCCTCAGAAATGATCCATTAACATAAACACACCCCGACAACCCTCACAGCAAAAGTCTCAGTAGACAGATGGAGCCAGGTTCTTTCCTGGTATAGGGGGAAGTGTAAGTGATAACTCCCACTGAAGACTCTGGACTGAATTCAGAAGTGATATAATTACTGGGCTAATTTATCTATCTGTTGTGGGAAAAACCACTAACTGCAGATGTAAGGTCAGGTAAGGTAGGGAAGGTTGCCTTTTTTTTACACCCTGCTATAAGTTGGTGCTCTTGCTAAACTCCCTTCTTTCCCTCTCTCGGTGTGAGTTACTCATTTTGCAGAGATGGGTGCAGATGGCAGTATTTATCACTTGTACCCATATTTAACCCATTTACTCTGATTGTGTAAACTTAGACCACCGTTTGGGCACATCTGAATTTGGGTATAGACTTTACACCACATCAACAGACTTTGGGAAAGCAAAGTCCAGAGTTTCTAGATTTACACCAAGTAAATGAGAGCAGAATTTAGTTCAAGGGCCTTCTGCCAAAAAAATTCCCTGGCTCTTCCCCTGGAGCATTCAAATCTAGGGGTCTCCAGCAGAACACTTCAGCCAATACTTGATATCTGAGAGCTGCATGGGAAGAGAAGCAGTTTTTCGGCTACCTAACATGCTAAAAACATAGGGTACTAAAACCCAAGAGAGACCATCATGAGTTAGTTCCCTTTGTACTCCTTTGCGTTCTTCCATACTGCACTCCCTCTTGGAAATGCTGCTGGCCAGTGTCTCCTTTGCTACAGAACATTCAGATTCAGTCCTGATAACCACCACTGCCAATAGATACTGATGGGGAGAAAACGGTACAAAAATTTACATGCGGTAGCATTGACATGCCTGTGAGTGGTGTGTGGGCTTTGAACTCCTCTCCTTGGTGTGGAGTCCATGTCTGCCCTTCTCCTCCTGGGCTCAGGGCAGGAAAAGGGTCTGAGGTCCCACTGGCCCTGGGAATAAGCGTTTTTTCTTGCTGGTCATATATGGAGCCCAGGGAGTGGCTAGAGAGGCTCTCCACCCACGGGAAGTGTGGGATACAGTACTGTGATGCCTGGGGGTTGGCATTAGGAGCTAGTTCTGGGATCTAAGGGCTGCACAATCCAGGAGCAGCCCCAATGTTTTGTTTACATAACTGAGAGGAAGGGAGTTCGGGTTGGAACCCCCTGCTCCCTGTGCTACATGGAGAGGCACCAGGATTCCCATTTAGCATGTGCAGCAGTGTCGATTGGCTGCCCTTCCTTAGAGCAGTTGTGGCAGAATTGGAGAGCTCAGCCAGTTGGCGATACATTTTTCTGTAGATCAGGGATTTTCCCTACATTCCTGTACGGGGGAGGATATGAAAAAATCAGTCTAGAGGGGGAAGTCCATGGGGTTGGCATTTCTGAATAATGAAAAAACGTAACTACACATGACACCAGAACAGCCTCATTAACTTCATTAAGCCCCAAACACCAGTTGATTTCCTTGAGGTTGTGTGGGGTGTAAGCCAGGGCAGGATTTGGCCCTACGAGGCTTTGTACAGGAAGGCAGAAATTAGGACAGGCTGTTTTCGTAGCGGAGAAGGCAAAATTCGGGATTCCAACTTCTCTTCTTGTGATGGCACAGACGGAGGGAGAGAGCCTAACTTTTGTTTTATAACATGCCTCCTTTTTTTTGTTGGTACAGTTAATTGTGTTACTGTTTAGATCTCTATGTACTTGAGTTTATGCACAAATTGGGCATTTAAACGTCTAGCTGTAAGATTCTGCATCTGGAGTTAATTGTGGCTGCAAAATAGGAGGCTAGCTTAAGGCTCCTCCAAAAACTGGCCCATAATATTAAAGGTATTCAAGCTCAGTCTGTTCCTTTTGTACATCCGAGTGATCTGAGAGAAGACCTAACAAAGGTCATTTAAAAAAAACAAAAAAAAATCCTGCAAACATTTCTCAACTGTAAAGTTCCCCAAAACCGCTCTTAATGCAGAAGGGGATGCAAAATGATATCTCAACTAGGGTTCTCGATTAATTGCAGTTAGCTCACGCAATTAACTCCAAAAAAATAATTGCGATTAAAAAAACTAATCGTGATTAATCACAGTTTTAATCGCACGGTTAAACAATAGAATACCAATTGAAATTTATTAAATATTTTGGATATTTTTCTATATTTTCATATATATTGTATTCTGTGTTGTAATTGAAATCAAAGTATATATTATTTTTGATTACAAATATTTGCACTGTAAAAATAATAAACAGAATAAATAGTATTTTTCAACTCACTTCATACAAGTACTGTAGTGCAATCTCTTTGTCCTGAAAGTGCAACTTACAAATGTAGATTTTTTTGTTGTTACATAACTGCACTCAAAAACAAAACAATGTAAAACTTCAGAGCCTACAAGTCCATTCAGTCCTACTTCTTATTCAGCCAATCATGAAGACAAGCAAGTTTGTTTACATTTACAGGAGGTAATGCTGCCCTCTTCTTATTTACAATGTGATCAGAAAGTGAGAACAGGCATTTGCATGGCACTTTTGTAGCTGGCTTTGGAAGGTATTTACATGCCAGATATGCTAAACATTCGAATGCCCCTTCATACTTCGGCTACCATTCCATGTTGCTCATTAAAAAAATGTGTTAATTAAATTTGTGTTTGAACTCCTTGGGGGAGAATTGTATGTCCTGCTCTGTTTTAACAGCCTTCTGCCATATATTTCATGTTCTAGTAGTCTCAGATGATGACCCAGCTCATGTTGTTCATTTTAAGAACACTTTCACTGCAGATTTGACAAAACGCAAAGAAGGTACCTTTGTGAAATTTCTAAAGATAGTTACAGCGCTCGACCCAAGGTTTAAGAATCTGAAATGCTTCCCAAAATCTGAGGGGGACGAGGTGTGGAACATGCTTTCAGAAGTCTTAAAAGAGCAACACTCCAATGTAGAAATTACAGAACCCGAACCACCAAAAAAAAAAAATCAACCTTATGCTAGTGGCATCTGAGTCAGATAATGAAAATGAACATGCATCGGTCCGTACTGCTTTGGATCATTATCGAGCAGAACCCATAATCAGCATGGGCGCATGTCCCCTGGAATGGTGGTAGAAGCATGAAGGGGCATCTCAATCTTTAGCGCATCTGGCATGTAAATATCTTGCGATGCTGGCTACAACAGTGCCATGAGCACACCTGTTCTCATTT